ATGGTGGTGATGATGATAATGATGATAATGAATGATGATAATAATGATACAGTACCTCAGTGGGCTTAGTTTCGCATTGGGTGTATTATTGACCAGAATGTTGGTTTCATGTTGACCCTAATTGTTTAGAAGCTCTGCTGTCATGTTCGCCGCCTTTTCCTAGTTACAGTTTGTGTTGAATTTAATTTTCCTTTGATAAAGAATGTAGGTCGAGACGTTCGGTTGTCTTCTTCTTCTTTTTTCGTTCGCCCGAAATAAGTTGTCTATGTCAGCAGTTTTGTCTCTTGTATAAATTTCACTGTCGTTGTTAGTTCATTCAGTGGTCCATAGAGTTTACGTTCCACTGTTGTTCTTTCTGGCCAAAAGGTTTGACTTAATGTGTCAAATTCGGTGCAGTCCTGGAGTACATGCTCTGCTGTCTGGGGCACATTTCCACAGTTGCACATGGCTGATACACCTATCTTGAATTTTGTGTACATGTGGTTACGTAATCGGTTGTGCCCTGTTCTGAGGCGGAGGATAAAGACTTGTTCTGCTCTGTCCATAATAAAATAGTCGTCTTGTGCTAGGGCTGGTGGTTTCCTGATCGATTTAATGATTCTTTTCTTTTGGTGGTATGTGACTGGTACATCCGGTTGCTTTTTTGTCGCACCTTCCCCTGCCAGTTGAGCAGCTTTCTCATTTCCAGGCACTCCACAATGAGACGGTATCCACTGCATTACGACTCTTCGCTGAAGGCTGAGTTGTGTCAGCAGTATTTGCAATTCTGGTAGTTTCCTAGACTGGAGTGCTTCATGTACTCATTTAGCATCTGTCAGCATTACCACATACTGTTAGCCAAGATTGGTATTTAGCAGTTTCTCTGTTGCTATCTTGATAGCTTGAGTTTCTGCTTCATAGTTATGGGAGTACTTCCCGGTTGGTACGCTGGACTTATCCCTAGTACCATCTGGGAATTTGATGTACACTCTAGCACCACCATTTCTAACTGCACTTTCTGAGGACCCATCTGTATAGACTCTGACCCATTGTTCTTGTGACGTTCGGTTGTATTTGTGCGCATCTTTTCTATCTCTCCCCCCCCCCCCCAACTTTTTGAGTTTTTCTAGTGGTATTTTATGTAGGATTTTGCACTTCGTATTATTGTCCGGTCATGGGGGAATATGGTCTATGCAATCGCTTTCACTTCACGCACTATTTCCTGATGTCAATTCAGGCTTGAACCACCTAAGAACCTAGGTCTGACTTAATAATAATTTAAACCTATGACCACCGAACTGAGGTTAACATAGTGAGTCGCTAGTGCAGTTGCCTATCACCTCCGAACATGGCCGCCGAACAACTTTTTGTGAGATAAGGGGACCAGGGACGTGGAAACGATGAAAACAATGAGAAAAAGGGGGGGGGGGGGGGTCGGAAAAAGGGAGGGTATAATGCTTTGTTCAAGTATTCAAAATAATAATAGCGATTGTAAAAATAATAAAAACAACAATAATAAAAATAATTTGCTGAATGGCAAATACATGAAGTAATTCTGTTTATTGAAATAATAATATGTATATGCAAGAACGTAAAAAGATGCCATCCATACATGGTTAAGGTGAGGGTGTGGATGGGGTGGGAGAGGTGGAGTTCAACCCCCGTGTACATTTAATCGAGGAGGGTTAGGGGGGGGGGGGGGGGCTAAGAACAGCTAAATGAATTGAGGGGTGGGGAAATCATGGTTTCAGTCTGATCTGATACTGGCCACTGCAACCATGGTGATGTATATGGCATTCAAAATGTCTGCTGTAGAGCCCAGTTATATTGGGGCGCCCCCTCCCCCCCCACCCTCGCTCCAAAGTTTACCTAGTAGCCTGCAGTCCAATGGGGATGGGGTTACGGGACCAGGGTTCTTTCAAATATTGACCTGACACCACCCCCACCCCCCCCCCCACCCTCGCCCCAATGTTCATCAAGTAGCCTGCAGTCCAATAGGGATAGGGTTACGGGGCCAGGGTTCTTTCAAATATTAACCTGACACCCCCTTCCCCCCCCCCCCCGGCTACCCAGTCGCATTTTCCTCCTTGTTTTGGGAGTGACACATGCACATCTTTGCTAAGAGTGCAAGAATTAAGAGTGCAAGAATTAAGAGTGCAATAATTAGGAGAAAAGATCAACACAGCCAGGCACGAGAAGCACACCCAACGCACAAGATGTCTTGTCAACCAACATAGAACTGGGACTACCAACTGCGGGACGATGATGTTTATGTTGAAGGAGGAATCTGAGCACTCAAGGACGTGTCCGGAGTACCGTGAAGATAACCCAGATCATAACTCATAACTCATTCCCTCCCTATGCTCGCGAATCTAGGATGTGAACAATGGCTGACAACATATAGTTGCGTGTTCTCCCGAGGACTGCGAAGAATCCTCTGAATAGTGTTTACACATGTCAACAAAACAGTTGTTTGTGTTGTACTCCTTTTTCAGCGTTCATCACAGGATGGATAGTTATTACACCTCATCAGTAACTGCCAGTAGTGGATTCAAAAGTTCAGGTTTTGGTGTATGCGAATTCTTATGAGTCTGGTACAGCTGTGCATACTTTAATATTATTATTATTGTGCGAGTGTGTGTCAATGTATGTGTGTGTGTGTGTAAAGGAAGACTAATAATTTTGTCTTGGCTACAAGCAGTCTGCCGTGGTGTAGCGGCTCGACGTTCTCCTCCCGATCCGATGATCGTGGCTTCGGGTCTTAAGGGAGTCGGACTTACTTTTTTTTTCCTTCACAAATGACCTTGACTGCCAGCATTAAATAGGTACCACGTAAAGTGCTGGGTAGTAAAGCTGGTTGTTCTTGTGTTGCCCACATTGCCCAATGAGTGCTGACTGGTGTACAAAATATAGGTCTAGCCCTGTATTCCAATTACGTCGATTGGGGTGTTTTACAAGCAGTCTGACTAATGAATTTATGACAGTAACTAAAACAAGAGGGGAAAATAGAACATGTTGTGACCACTGGTAAGATCTGTGGAAGGACGGATAGAGGAAGACAACGAGAGAAGATGCTTGACAGTCTTGTTGCATGGCATGGAGGTGTGTCGGCACACGAACTGATACATGCTGCAGGAGATCGCAGATTATGGAGAGGCATGATCGCCCACGCCAGTCGGCAAGGCACCTGATGATGATGATGAATGAATGCAAAAACATTTTAGGATAAATACATTTTCTACGAGTTTGCTTTCTTCGTCTCTGAATCGACATCACAGAATTCGATACATTCTCATAGGTGCTGCGTCCCCATCTTCAGCAGCCAACGCAGAGTCCCAATAACAATGGAGCTAGTTGTAGTCTGATTATACAGTGAGTATACTCGGAGATGTCAAGATGGGCTGAGCTCGTCTAGTGGTTGGAGCCTGCTAGAGGTCACAGCAAAGTTATTTGTGTGAGTGTGTGTGTGTGTGTGTGTGTGTGTGTGTGTTTGTGTCAGGGAAGGCCGATTAAAGAGGAAATTTTAAAGTTGTGAGGCTTGCTGAGTGGGTTACTGTAGACAACGGATAGGCATGTTCCGTGCTGATGTACTGATTGACTTTAGAGTCGTTAGAAGACAAGAATAATGTGATGATTTCAAGCCTGCGAACTTGACTGCCCGGCAAAACGACTAAACCCACATACATGGTGTCAGACAAGAACGTTAATCAGAAGGCCAAAGAAGGTTGGTAAACCAACACTGAAACAGGGTCGTCAACAGACACACACTGAGAAAGACTAAGAAATGTATCCGCGACAAAACGGTTATGTGTGCATTGAGGTGATAACCAAGTTAACAGAATTTATGAAGTAAAAGAGTTTATTTTTACGCTTGTGGAGCTTTTGAGGAGGAGATAGGACAGGAGCACATACGGATCTGTCTTGAGTGTTGTGATGATTATCCTTAAAAGAAAGTGTTCTCAGTACAATTCACGATTTGCACTTTTCAACTCTGTGTGTTCAGTCTTGGAGACTAATTATTTCTTTTTCCTCAAACACTTTTGTCTGTCGAGCCTTACAAAGTCGATTTTTTTTCCTCCTTTCTGTGAGTGTTAGTCCTGTGATCAGACCTGATAACGACTCACCCAAGATTAGTCACAGAATCTTAATTTGTGTCTGTATCCTCGTCTGTTCTTGTGTTACCAAAAAGTCATAATAATCACTTATCGATGGCATTATATTTTTCTGTTTCATTTTCTTATCTCAATTCCATGATTTCTATCTCGAATGTTGACACCCATTGACTCAAATGTCTCCTTTTCGATGGGATTTAAATTTAAGCAAATCCCAGAAATTCCGTTGAACCATGTAACACAGTTTTTTATCGTCGAGTACGCAGTGGTTATGATGTCACCTGTGGCACAGTGTGGGCGGGTGTTACTTTATACCACCACAAAGATCTTTCATCGATTGTTTTATGCTTCTGCAATTTTTTTAGGAGGAGAACGGAGCACCTATGGATCTGTCCGGAGTGTTGTGATGATAATCCCCGATAATCATTAATCTATGGAGATTATGTGTTAGTCCTGTCTGGACTGCTGCTTGAAGATTGACACACTGAGATGGAAAGACATCTTCATCTTGGTGACAGACCAGCAGCGCAAATCCCACATACCTGACTCAGTCTCCAAAGAAGATGTAACTAAAACACCCTTAGTGGCAAAACCAGCTTAGTGTCACCTTCAGTCAGTGCGGGTAAGGACTGCTTATAATTTATTATACAGATCAATCGATCGATTGGTTTATCTCCTCTGAACTATTTTTAAACTGTTACCACCGTTAGATAAGAAAATATCAATCTGAATAGCAGCCTAACAGGGCAGTTCCTGGAAATCCGGTTTAACACCGAAAAAACTTATAATTCTCTATAAAGAAGTCCCGTTAAACCTTCAGTTATGTGCCTGTGAAGACGTAGCTTTAAAAAACAAAATATTGCGAAACATTTATACCACGATTTTGCTCCGGATATGTTTCTAAGAAAAATGGCGACGAAGTACGCGGATGAAATCAAAAAGTTCTTTGCAACAAATGCCAAGACTCGAGATGTTCAGGCACATACTGCTAAAGTTCACTCAGTAGCCTGGAGTTGTGATGGTCGCCGGCTTGCATCGGGATCATTTGATAAAACAGTCTGCATTTATATGTTGGACAGAGATAGGCTGGTAATGAAAAATACTTTTCTTTTCGACTTCGTTATTTGAAATTTCGGTACTCCTGTCAAATCCGGACGAAGAACAAAAACTGGTCGACTTAGTCAGAGTTCTCTCCCTTGGCCGCACTGCAAACAGTGATCGGAAAAGCCAACGAAACAAACGACACAAGCAACATGGCAGTTAGACGCACTCACATAACTAACATCGTTCTTGCGACGCGAAAGTATCATCGCGGTCGCACCAGTCCAGTCACGGTCGTTGGGTCGTAGGGCTAGTAGAGCGTCAGACTGGCTGTTGCTACTTGGAGCTTGTGCAAAGACGAGATGCGACGACATTGGAGAGGATCATAACAGATCACGTCCTGCCGGGAACGACTATAGTGACTGACGCTTGGCGAGGCTACAGCAACGTGGCAAACTTACTGCATGGCATCTATCTGCACGAGGTAGTAGTCCACCAGACCAACTTCGTCGACGCCGTACACAGTCACACACACACACAAACAATTGAGGGCCTCTGGATGCTGGTCAAACGCACAATTCGCCAACGATTGGGCACCAGCCGCACACTATTGGCGTCATATTTAGCAGAATTTCAGTGGCGCAACGCCCACAAACATCAGATTGTCGGCCAGTATTTCGAAACCATACGTCAAAATTTTCACATCTAACCCTACCCCTAACCCTACCCCTAACCCTAACCCTACCCCTAACTCTAACCCAACAACCGCAGGATGACTACACAACCATTCACGATGCCGTACGCAACCCTGCACGCAACCATATGATGACCACGCATCCCTTCACGATGCCTCACGCAACCGTACGCAGCCCTACACGCAACCGTATGATGATAGGTAAGTGTGTCGTTTGTTTCGCTGGCTTTTCCGATCACTGTTTGCAGTGCGGCCAAGGGAGAGAACTCTGACTAAGTCGTCCAAGGCTTTTTATTCTTCGTCCGGATTTGACAGGAGAGCCGAAATTTCTCTATATAATTATAATAATAGTTCATACATTTATTACTATTTTTCATTTGGTTTATTAATATAATTAATAAACTTTCAGTAGTTACTGTTGCTTGAACCTAACTCGGCAAACAAAATGTGTCAGACCGTAAATTAAATTGTTCACTCGATCTGTTGTTTGAGATTTCAGTCTTTTAAATTAAGTAACTAATATAATAATATTAATAAGACTTTTAAGTATCTTAGTAAGATACTAAGATACTGTAAGAAAAGAGTCAGCTTTAAACGTTAACAAAAAACAAAAGGTACACAATGAAATGTATCAATAGTATCTGCTACCTTCTACTAGCTTCTGGCTTCTGTTTAATTTAATTGTGATTACTAATTAGTACTAATCTAAATAATCACATAATTAATTATCTACTGAGACTTCTAAATACATTTACATTTCATTGAAATTATTATTAGAATTTGTTGGTTATGTTTTCAGACTTATTGAAATTTTCAGCAGTCTGAACATAAACATAACTGACAAATTCTAATTTTAAAAAGTCTGACAAAGAATGAAAGATACTATTAGTATTACTAAGTAATAGTAATAGTATCTTACAATTCTAGTGTCCAGCGAGCATCATAAAACAGCTGCCTTTTCTGGGTTGATGCCAGCACACATCTCTGCACACCAGTCAGCTGTGTCTACAGTTGCATATAGTTCTGGTGCTGTGTGGTGCTTCTTCCTCCTGCCTGTATGCAAGAACATCATCTGTACATGTCAGTATCTTTCCAACCCCTGGTGTTTCAAGTTTTGCAATCCTGCTTGTATACACATTGAAGAGCACTGATGAAATTGCACAACCCGGGACAGTATTGCATTCTTCTTAGGTCCATGTATCCAGATGAAGGGGAACTTCACGTGAATGCAGGAAAGCTAGTATCCAGTTCACCTGCCAAGGACAGACCTCCTTCTCCATGAGCGTAAATATAAAAATGTCTAATTGAAACTTCTTTGAAAGATGAATATGCAGATGTATGTACAGACAAGTCTATGGCAAGATTTAGATGTTTATGTTGTTATTTCTTTATAGAGATGTCAGCACCCTCGAGTCTAATGCTGCTTTCTGTCAGCTTATCCAGATGAATGTTGGACAGTATGAGAAGGAACAGCTGTAAATAAAGAAAATCTCTAGTTATCACAGAAATTTGGTTTAAGAAAAAATAAGTTAAAATTAATGCCAAAGAACTTTCAGTAAAACTGACCACTTGTGAAATGAGATGTTTGCGAATGACTCTGAACAAAGCTGTAAGAGATTATGTGACAAACAAAAAGAGATTAGAACTGTTAAAAAGCCTCATCAGTAAATTCATTAAGATGCAAAGGCTACCTAGTAAAGAAAAAAGCCAACTATACAAGCAGTGAAAGCGTACAATGTGAAAATTGAAACACCAAGAGGCAGAGGGATACCAGAAAGAAGAGTTAAAGGGGTCACACACCATCCTGAAATTTAACTAGGCAACTTAGCCGTCCCGGGTTCCACTACCCGTCGTCCATTAAACTGTGAAGTCTAGTGGCACATACCAGATATTAACAAAAACAATAAGAAGTTAAATTATGGAATGGAAAGAACAGGAACTTTTATGATCCAGTGTATCCTGCTAAAACTGCTGATAGAGGAGTCTGTTAATCTCTGTGGCAAGCATCTACCCACCAGGGTAAAGACGGAGTGACTAAGTACTAAGCAAAACAAGCCTGTCCTGAAATTCTCAAGGTGATGATTTTTGTCAGTAATTTATTGTATTATTACCTTAGACAAAAGACTACACAGTATTTCGTGGACATGGTGCAAGCGTAGACCAACTGTGTTGGAACCCACACAATCCAGATCAGTTGGCAACAGCAAGTGGAGATAAAACTGTGCGCATCTGGGATGCTCGCACAAACAAAGCTGCTGCAACTGTGAACACTAAAGGTATGACTTTCTGTGGCCACCAGAAGTTTGCATTCTAAACTTTTTTTTTAAAAACCTGGTAGCTCGTACACGGCAGTTTATTCTCCTCAATTATATTCTTCTTCTTCTTTGGTTTTGGTTTCGTATGCTCAGATCAGACAATCAGGTGGGTTGCCTTTCTAAACTCGCATGTCAGCAGCAGGTCCTTCATGATTCCTCATTTATATAATAGTGAAAGTCCCTTGATAAATAAATTAAAAAGTATCTGTCAGAAGTGCAGGAAAGAAGTGAAGATATGGGCTGGGAAGGCTAACCTGGTGAATATCCGATAAAACAAGATGTTTCGAAGGCACAAATGTCACAGCTATTTGTAAACAGGCACAACACAATTACATCACTTAGATGAATGAAGATGAAGAAGATAGATAACAATTTAAAACTATAGTGACCATCAGTTTGTGGAACCTTTGCCTTCAAATGATGCTGGTGCCTCACTACAGAAACACACTTTGCATAATAGTCGTTAACAAGGTATGTGTCATAGTACCTTTTTACCCCATTATTCGAGGGACGATCATCATTGGGACGATGACATATTCGAATCCCACTTTTGTCACCAGCTTTCAGTTTGAATGTTGTGCAGTGTGTCCATCCTTCTATTTCCATTACCTTTCTCAATTTCAACAAGTGCCAACAAATACTTGTAAATTTATTTATCGTGCTGCTTTCACCGTAAACCTGGAGAAGGACAATATAACGGGAAATGAAGGAATGTAAACTGACATGGGATACCATGGGCAGAAAAGCAGCAGACAGGCGGCAATGGAGATCACTTATGAATGCCTTGTTTGCCAACAGCTACATGAAGAGGATAAAGAAAAAAAAATGTCATCGTAATATAAATACAGAGAATAAAATACCTGTTTAAAAAAAAAAAACATAATTCAGGAAATCTAGGAAGGCTAACACGAAAAACAAATGCCTAAAGAAGTTGGATGTGTTGGCTAAAAGGTGAAAATATCACAGCTGTAGTGTAAAAGACACAGCAAATATATGTCACTCATTTGAATGATAAAGAAGAAGAAAATTGGGATCTTGCATTCCACAGTAATATGTGTATAATTGTTAATGTTGGTGTACTTAAGCTAAAATTTTTGCCACTGCTATAGACTATGTCCTCAGAGCAGTGTGGAGAACTGGTTACACCATTAGAGAGGTTAAGAATACTCACCAGAATTCCAGCCATACTATTTTGAGACAGACCACCATTTATTTGATATTAAAAACATATTCCCCCCCCCCCCCCCCCCCCCCCCCCCTCCCTTGCTATGCAACATGATTCATAGCATCATGTCCCATGAATTTACCTCAATATCTATATCACTCACAACTATCTGGCATAAGGTTGTTTTTTTTTTTTTTCCACATGTTTTAATAGCTTTGTTCTGTCTGTAACTTAATTGGAAACATTTCAAGATAACAAATGGGGACTAGTTTCAGAAGAATTTCAAATTTTTTTCATTACTGATGGATATATTGAAAGCAGTAGAATTTACACAGAATGAAAAGAGAAGGACATCCTGAAAAGAGCACAGGCATTAACTACATATTTTACATGTACCACAGGACAGGTGAGCAGACATCAGTCTGTTCAGATGAATAAAAAAAAAAGGACACAAACATTTAGCAGAAAGAGAAGCAGTAATAAACATTAAATCATGCACTTATGTCCACACTTTTAGTCATGTCACCTTTTGACAAAGACAGCTTCTTATGCTTCATATTATGTTATTGGTAATCACGTCTGTCTGTAGCCTTCTGTCTCATCTACTACCAACTGGTTTTAACACAGATATTATTTCACGCCATGGTTCCAAACTGTCCAACATCTTCTCATGTTGGCCTCCCTCAGCCTTACTTCCCTTCCAAATTTCCTCTTTTCACAGTCTACACAAATAAGATAAATAATTTATGGCTAGAGCACAATATTGCATTATCAATCAGCGTGTCTTTTACAGAATGTCGCTCTTGTCACGGCTCATCTGAAAGTCTTTCTTTCTTTAACCATTTCTGTAGCCCTGTGTGCTTTCATAGCCGATTCATCTCCGCTGTTCTGTATCCACCATCATATAGATCTGTACCTCTGCCTCAATTTCTGGAAACTCTAGCCTCCATCACCATGACATTTAGCATGGCCAGAATACCTCTGCCTCTCAATTTCATGGAATAACTGCCTAGGAAACTCCTCCATCACCATGACATTTAGCATGGCCAGAATACCTCTGCCTCAATTTCTGGAAACTCTAGCCTCCATCACCATGACATTTAGCATGGCCAGAATACCTCTGCCTCAATTTCTGGAAACTCTAGCCTCCATCACCATGACATTTAGCATGGCCAGTCAATGTTTCCTGTGTGAGACATGTCCGTGTCTGCTTGTCTGGGTCCTTGGTATTCTAAAAATATTTATGTAACATTTCAGTTCAAAAGCTCTAATTTTGTTCTTCAATGATTCTGTATATCCAGATAGAAAAGGGTAATTGTTTCTCTACATTATCCCAGCATACCTTTTCTTTTTAATTTAATTAGTTTTTAATGTTGTTTCTTGTTTTCCCAGGTGAGAACATCAACATCTGCTGGTCTCCAGATGGCAGCACCATCGCTGTCGGCAACAAAGACGACCTGGTCACTTTTATTGATGCCAAAACTCACAGATCCAGGGCAGAAGAACAGTTCAAGTTTGAGGTCAATGAGATCTCCTTTAACAAGGATGGCGACCTGTTTTTTCTCACCAGTGGTCACGGCAATATTCATATCTTTAGGTACAAGATTGTTTTGTTTTGGTCTCAGGGCGATTGTTCTTGTATATTTAGAATGAAAAATAAATCAGATGAGCTAGTTGATAACACTGCTACATTTTTGATTTATAATACTCTTTCTCTCATTGAAACCTATCCATAATACAGTTTGCTCTCACACTGTGTTTTTGTTTATTTTGTTTGTTGCTTTTGACCTTTAAAAAATATATTTTTTTAAAATCCTGTATCTACCTTATAGATGTTTAATTTGTCCCTCAGAGATACTGTCACTGGAATTGTGTGATATTTCAGTCACAGCATTTACCATTGTTTGTGATGCTGTTTTGGGACTTCAATATTGTTTCCTTTTAAGTCTCAACCACAGCCTCCTTCTCTGTGTGCACACGCACATGTGCATATAAGCAGAGAAAGAGATTAAAATTTTTGTTTATTTTTAACTATCTGGAACTAAGGACGACACAGGTTGAATAATTGTATTGTAACACTGTCTTTACTATAACTTCACTTTCTATCAGGAATTGAAGAAATGTAATTAACTGTCAACATTACAATGTTCTACTTGTCAGAATCTAAAGACACAGGATTATTTAGTGATTATATTGTCATGTTGTCTTCACACTAATTTCAGCCACCTAGAACTAAAAGCACTACATTATTTAATTGATTATATTTTAATGTATGACCTCTAACTTCCGCTGTTCGTAACCATAGACCTTATATGTTTTCAGTGATTACACTGTAATGCTGTCTTTTTTCTTATAATTTCCACTGTACATAACCATAGACCTTATGTGTATTCAGTGATTACACTGTAATGCTGTCTTTTTTTCTAATTTCCACTGTACATAACCAAAGACCTTATATGTTTTTAGTGATTACACTGTAATGCTGTCTTTTGTCTTCTAATTTCCGCTGTCCAGAACTAGAGACACTGAATACATTAATTGATTGTATTGTAATTTTTGTCTTCATTATAATTTCAGCTATCCAGAACTGAAGACACTGCATGTATTAAATGCCCATCCAGCAAACTGTATCTGTATAGAATTTGATCCCACTGGCCAGTATTTTGCGATAGGAAGTGCAGATGCTCTAGTCAGTTTATGGAACTTGCCAGAGTTAGTGTGCATGAGGACATTTACACGGTGAGTCATGGTTCAAGTTGAATATCTGTGTTATCTGGCATTCAAACAGTGCTTTCTTTAATTTAAATGCAGCAGTGTGTAGCTGTTAGGGTTGCAACCTCACACACAAGGAAATATTCCCTGTTCCCCTTTTAAAGGCTAGAGATCTTGTTTATTGGCATTTTTACAAATCGAATCTCTACACTGTGTCTGATTCCCTAGCATGTCTTTATTCCTCATGTCAGAAATCTCTCATAGCAGTGTGGTAGACAGCTGTACAAGTGGGAGGATAACATCAAGAGATAATGCAAAACAGCAGTATGAGAGAGAACAACTGCAGTGAGAGACAGCATGTTGGTGATCATTTCATACTACATCATTCATTGAAATGGCACCTTATATGTGTGTTTGTGTGTGGGTGCACGCATGTGTCTATAAAGACTTCAGTGTTCCAGTTGTTTAGCTATTCACTCAGATAGGGAATCGTCATGATGTAGTGGCTAAACTCTCACCTGATGTGAGGTCAAACCAGATAATGCTGGACTTTTTTCAAAAATAACCTTGACTCCCAGGTCCACCCAGCCTTAAATGGGTACCAGGTAAAAGTCCTGGGAAGTAAAGGTGGCCGGCATGATGTTTGCCACATCACCCACCAAGTGCTGATTGGTCTGTAATATATAGATCTAGCCCTATATGCCCAATACACCTGAAGGCGTGAAGAAAAACAGTCCTTTACATTTACTCTTCAAATGCCCACTCTGCACTACTCACTTTTGAACTACCCACTCTTAAGATCACTAACTACTGCTTGACTTTCTGCTCCTCAGATGCCCACTTCCCCGCAACCCACTATTTCCCCATCACTCAGCTACAAAAGTGTCGTTGATTGCAGAGAAAATTTCTTTACACTAGATTCTTATGGGTTTTAAATTTTACAACGAAATGCCAACAGTACTTACATCTCAAACAGCTCAAAAAGAAAAGACTATTTTAAACCTTCTGAAAACTGTTTCTTTGTAGTTCATTAGTGACCACTGATTGCATCAGCCTTCATTCACTTGGATACAGAATTTCAATTATGCAGTAATTCAAGGACATTTTTTCAGAGTGTCACAAGAAACAGTTGGAAATTGACTAAACGGCACCTGACATGTTAGGCAGGCCTCTGTCTGAAAAATGTTATAAATTAATTTAGCCATGTCATGTTTTATTTTTTTTTTGTCTTCTGTAGTTAAGAAGTTAGGATGTCTTGAAGGAAATTAACTCACAAAGAGAATTGGTTACATGCATCACAGGGGCCCAGGTCACAGTCTTTGGGCATGTCATGAGAAGGAAAACACTGGCGCACATTGTGACCTTAAGGAATGTCAGAGGGGGAACAGTGGAGGGGTTTCAGGGAGGATACAAAAGATATAGGTTAAGCATTATTTTGTGGAGGAACATATTTCAGAAATAACTGTTGTACACAAGACAGAGAGAGAGAGAGAGAGCTGCCGTAGCATAGAGGCAAGACACTCACAGGTCTAGGGTTCAAATCCGCACTGAGCAAATGTGTTTTCAAAATATAGCTTAGTTCCAGGACAGTCCAGCCTAATGTGAACACCAGGTAATGTCCTTGAAATTAAAAGTGGCCGGCTTGATGTTTACCACATTCACCTATCAAGTGACCATTGGCCTATAAATGCATAGGTCTAGCACTATACGGCCAACACACTGAAGGCGTGTACAGGGTCTTTTTTGTTGTTTTGCTTTACACAAGACAGAAGTCTTTGGGCAGACAAGATGGCCAGCATTACGCAGCAGGAACTATGAGAAGTAAATCTGTTTACAAGTTAGGTTTATACATTATTCAGTTATCAGTTAAGAACTGACACCACAGCACTTGGGGCATTCCTATAAGCGCTCCATCCGCAGCAGCCAGCACAGAGTTTCAATTCCAATGATTCAAGTAACAGACTGATTGTGTATCTGTCTTGCCCATTCCTTGAGCATTGTATGTCGGTCAGATCTCCTGGTCACACATCGCTGCACCATTTTCTTCAGACCGTTATGATCTGTTTGTGCCTGCACGCACACTGTTTTTACTCACTTCCAGTGGCCCCTTACGTCTAGCTTGTCATGAATCATTTTACCACCAGGTGGTGCATAACCAGCCAGTCTATCCACCTGTTATTTTCCCAACACACTTGCATTCCAGCCTCAAACACCATGGCCCAGAATATTTGAAGGCTAAGCACTTGACACCGCAGTGACAGTACCTGACAACTATTACCTTTATTTACCCAGTTAAAATGTTTTGTATTTCTAAGCTGGTGTTTGGGGTTGGAGCTGCTGACATATATTTTCCACCTGAAATCAGTCCTGAAAAAAATCTGTTATCTGGTGATCTAGCATATGTGAAGACTGCACTCTGCCAGAAGAATTATAGCCTGGGTGTCTGAACTTAGTCTTGTAAAAAAAAAAGCTTACTGTTAATAGGTGGTGATTGAGGTAATTATCACTGATTGTTTCAGGCTTGAGTGGCCTGTACGGACACTGAGTTTTAGCAATGATGGGAAGATGCTTGCATCCGCCTCCGAGGATCTGGTTATTGATATTGGTGAGGTAGAAACAGGTATGGCTTTTTTAGTTGTGTTGTCTTTATATCGAAGCATTTGTAGGTTATGACCTGAATTTCTCTTTGAGGTGTCTTGTCTGCAGCAGGCAATGGCAGTTGTGGCTCTTATATTTAAAATTTTTTCGTTTACTGTGGCTCAAAAGTGGAACTCTAATATTCATCATTAATCTGTTCCTGAAGGAACAACGAATATGTTAAACAACAGACAAATAATAAATAGGTTTTTCACAGTTGACCAAACATGATTATCTCCATTCCCAGCCCTGAGTTTTGCCTGACTACCCCCCCCCCCCCCCCCCCTTTTTCCCCCCAAAAAAATTTGCGTGTAAATCAAGCTCATAAATCCTTGCATGTAAATTTTTTTTAATTACATATCAACTACTTCATTTATTATTGCTTTATCTCTATGATGGAGATTTTGATGTCCTGGTGGTGTAAACATGCTGTACGCCTAGATAAAAAAAAATTGGCAAGGAAATATACCTTTTGGATGAAAAAAAAAATGGCTATTGTTTGGAAGGATGGTCACCTTCCATTGTGACATAGTGTTATGTCACTTCTGATGATTCATGTCCTGTTTAATCATCAGCATTTCCAGATGATTCACCAGAGCTCGTTCTGATTAAGAAGTTTTTCAGTGTTTTTTTTTTAAAGTGTGTCTAAACACATCATCATCAAGTGAATTGATACACTTGTTAACTATAGCGATGTTTGGTGTCATTTCTTGATGATAAGCTGCATTTTTGCCTAAGTGGACAGCCATTCTTCAATTTCGAAATTTGGAACAGGTCTATCATCATCTTTTTTCTCTGATGGCACGCCAGAAGAAGGACGAGTGTTGAATTTTTGATCCAGTTGCAAACAGAAATTTCAACGCTGTTGAGGTCTTCACTAATGCTCCATAGTTGTAGGGATTTCACCTTTAGATGAGGATGATTTTTTTTTTTTAATGCATAGGTTTAAGGGATCTGGTAGCGCAGTCGCTGAGTACTTGCTCGGGGGCCTGAAGATCTTTGGTTCATTTCTGTGCTAGACAGTTTATTCAGTTAAATGGCTTGAGCTTGCAGGACATCCCAACATTAGGAAATATTCCAGAAAGTCAACAATTAGACTGTAAATAGTACAGTCAGAATTATCTGCGCTTGCTGTTTAAGATAGGGTTGTCCCAAGTGCTGTGATGTCGATTCTTAATTCACAAGCTGAGTGTGAATTTGGGCATATCACTTATTGAGTGCCATGAGTCTGGCACCATATGCCCATTGTGCCAACAACATGAGACGGGTCCTTGCCTTACTTTAAAGCAGTTTAAGCTTTTCACATACATTGTTGAGTCTTCTGCCTCTTTTACCTAGTATTTCCACACATACAGGTAATTGATCTCTTCTACCTGTTGTGTTGATCAGTCGGATGCCGACTTCACAGTGAACCTCAGCTGTAGTGGATCTCCTGCACACTTTCTTTTACCCTAAATCAGAGGGCTATTTGTCCATCTCTTCTACAGTTCTAATTTTTGTGCAGACTCTTGGTTCCTTGCCTCTCAGGCAGATGCACTCTGACTTCAAGGGAAAGACACAATTATTCACCTTGTTCAGCATGTTTGTAAATGGGGCAGTGTATAACACACCACCACCACCACCCCCCCCCCCCCCCCCCCAGCTTACAGGGCCATGGAACCCACGCAGGGGAACAGGGGAATTAAGTTTCATGATTGTTAACTTGTTTATAATATAAATGAATCAAGAATTGACATCACTGCACTCGGGACATTCCCATTATGCTGCGTCCCATCCGCAGTAACCAAAGAAGAATTAACGGGCTAATAGTACCAGTTGCAAGCTGGTTAACAGCCTTCCTCTGTTTCCCCTTTAATGTTGAATACCTTCCAGAACCTCCACATGCCCCCGCTAAATTAGTCTTTCAGTGTACAGATTCCTTGTCTGTTCTCTTGCACTGTCCATTGTTGTTAATAACTTCTAACTTGTTAATGGCATTTAATTTTTCTTGTAGGAGAGAAGCTTCACCAGATAACCTGTGATTCCCCAACTTTTACCGTCGCCTGGCATCCAAAACGAAACCTTCTAGCATACGCTTGTGACGATAGACGGGACAGAGACGCTGGCATAGTTCGAGTGTTTGGCTTCCCCTCTGACACTTAAATAAACTACATTTGCTAGATCATATCTGTATGTGTGTGGGCGATATCTGTGCGATTGATTCAAGTCTGCTTTGTAAATGTAAGAAAAGTTTAACAGTGTTTAAAAGTTGAAAGGTAAAAGAGGCATAGGGAGATCAAGATAGAAGACTCTGCTGACACCATGGCATGAAAGCTAATCTGTGTCAAAATTGATTGAAAGTACTCGAGACAGAAGGTTGTGGATAGATGTGGATTATACGAGAATGTCCCCCGTGTGGGTTCTGGGGCCCTACTATGGAAAAAACATGAATAGACCCGCTGCCTACCCAAAAGCATGTCGTAAAAGTAGACTAATTGGGAGCTTCCTTCAAAGTCGGAGTGCATCTGCCTGAGAGGCAAGGAACCAACAGTCTGCATACAGATCTGTCAAAAGGATGCACACAACACTCAGGTTCTGGAACAGGACTGCAGTCCAGAATTGGACAAACAACCAGAACTTTCCGCCGGAGTTCAAAGCCGGTGAACGCAAAGAAGAAGAAAATAAGAGAATGTATTGAAAATAAATTGCATTTTATTATGTGCCTTCAAATGCAGGACTTATTGATTAAATTGTAAAAACTTTTGTCTATCTTGTCTTCCTTTAATTTCATAATGGAGCATAGGCCTTTAGCCAAACTATTTTAAGTCCTTTGTGAGCCTGTTCTTGATTGGTTGACTTTTGCAGCTAATCTTCTGTGGAATAAGATAGTCAAACACCATCATTTCTCAGTCTTATGATATGTATAGTCTTATATTTCAGGTAATCACAGTGCTAACTTTATAGCAAATAGGTCCCATAGTTACTCCATTTCTGTGCCAACAGTACCCACCCAGAGTGTCTATCACTGTTTATTCTGGTTTTTTTTTTATACACTGCAGTCTTAGCAAATCTAGCAGCATACACATTCATTAAATGCATAAGGCAGCAGTCAGAAGTGCCAACACAAACGGTCAAACACTAGAAATGCAGTTCATCCTTAGTGGAAGAGGCAGTTAAAACAGATCACTAGTTGCACACACAATCACATATGGCACCATAGGTTCTCTGGCTACAGGTCACTTGCTAATTTTTGAATCTGCAGTTCACACCACAAACCTCGTTAGGTGCAGTCCAGAAACATTTATAGTGAAGTGCAGTGTCATGCCGTGCACTTAACTTAGTAGCTGGTTGATGGAACAGTATCCTTTCAGTCTACATATGGAGGAAAATGCAACAGCTAACTATTAAGAAGTAAAAACTTTCCATGACTGAAAACAGTAAACCAGTTTATCTGCCATATTGACCGAAAGCCTGTTGTTATATATGTCTTTACTAACCTTTTGGGTCCCAGTAACAACAAAAAATTAATCTGGTTCTGTTAGTTGTGGACTATCTCGCAATCTTTAAGGAAGAAAATGTGGGGCTTTTAAACTGAAATCTTATAGAATGATTATCAGAAAATTATTTGCTAAAAAGATAGAAGTATTGGCAACCTAAGAGATCTGAATATCAGGGAAGATTGGCTCATAAACAGCATCTTGTTTTGTAAAATTTGGGCCATATCAAACGGCACAGTGAATTGCAAATAACAGACAGGGGGCACAGTGCTGAGAAAGGGAGTCAGGGACCTCATGAATGTTGGCACAGGGTATAAGAAATACCTCAGGTAGGAAAGTGCACTAGTTGGGAGACCCAGTTTCTTTCAGATAGGCGGTAATGAGAGTGATGTTTTGTAAAGGGCCACCAACATTGTGATAACAACGAATTTGTTTTGCACTGGTTATCAGCAAGTCAGGTTTATTTCATATTTGCCGTGGGAATTAGCTTTTCCCATAAGAGAGATACCAGAACATTCTTCAGGGGAACAGACCGTGCCGATTTAATTTGTCTTTCCCATTTTCAGATCTTCAAGGATGTCTTCTTCTTCTTCGCGTTCACCTGCTGTACACTCTGGTGGAAAGTTCTGGTTGTTCGTCCACTTCTGAACTGCAGTCCTGCTCCAGAACCTGAGTGTTGCATGTGCATCAGTTTTACAGATCTGATTCACTTGAATGCAGACTGTTGGTTCCTTGCCTCTTAGGCAGATGCACTCCGACTTCAAAGGAAGCTCCTTAATTAGTCGACTTTTACAACATGCTTTTGGGTAGGCAGAGGGTCTATTCTTGTTTTCCCCCACTATGGGGCCCCAAAACCCACACAGGGATTTAAGGATGTAATAGGTCTGCCCTTGTATTGGCTTTACAAAAATAATTTTGTGACGTTAAGCATATGATGTGCTGAAGAATGAAGGACTTGTTGTTGGTTACTGAGAACTAACTTAACATTTTGTACAAACCCGCAGGATGTCTGTCTCACTTATCATATGTAAGGTGTAGTGCTGTCAGAGCATTTAAACAGTCAACAGGCCGAAGACATCTCGAATAAGCACATGCTAAAAGATGCTGAAAGGAAACAGAAGTGGAAAACTAGAGAATATTATGTAGGCAGACGTGGTCTGAACTGTGCCTACAGAATAGTTCATTATAGAAGCAGGGATGTCATGCAGACTTTGGCCCTAAACAGCATCTGATCAAACATTTCCATCTGCTGCTCATCTCAGAGAAGCCACCACGCTGGCATTGGTCCTTTGGCTGGTCCCGAAACGCATTAGTTCTGTTTGCGCTTGAGCATTTTTTGGGACACCCAGATGTGATTTTTAACAAAAATAATAATAGCATTGGGAGATAGGGGTAGATTTTGTGAAAATGTAGCTTTGTTAAGCCATACATGGCCTCATAAATAGCCTTTAGTAATCAGGGTCAGTAGTTACAGTGTAATTTTTTTTGGGGTCCCTGGGCGAAAGAAATTGTTTAATTCTCTGCTCCCTTCACTTGTATTGATTTTTCCCTTTCATATTTTTTGTGTAAATAACTTTGGTTTTTTAAAAATGCATTAGTAACCTGTTGGGGTGGGGGGTGGGTGGATATGAGTCCCTGGTTTGTGAGTTGTTACTTTGAACATTTACTGGAATGAAAGGGTCCCTGGTTTGCGAGTTGTTGCTTTGAACATTTACTGGAATGAAAGGGTCTTTGGTTTGTGAGTTGTTACTTTGAACATTTACTGGAATGAAAGGGTCCCTGGTTTGCGAATTGTTACTTTGAACATTTACTGGAATGAAAGGGTCTTTGGTTTGTGAGTTTTTACTTTGAACATTTACTGGAATGAAAGGGTCCCTGGTTTGTGAGTTGTTACTTTGAACATTTACTGGAATGAAAGAGTCCCTGGTTTGTGAGTTGTTACTTTGAACATTTACTGGAATTAAAGAGTCCCTGGTTTGTGAGTTGTTACTTTGAACATTTACTGGAATGAAAGGGTTCAAGACGTTCAGATTCATGGTTATTGAGAGCAGAAATGATGTGCAGTGTTATTATCCTAATACTTCAACAAGTTAGTTGCATATCCTTCATAGGATGTTGCAATACCAACACCTGCATTTTGTTTAGCTAGTGTGATTTGTCCAGGCATATTTTAAGTTCATTAGTTTGCCATTGCTTATGAGACATATCTTGGCCATGCCAACGAACGGTCAGTTCTTAATACGACTGTCGAAACCAACTCAAGATAAATTGCTCGCAGCTGGGATCGAGCCTGGCGCGGGATCAGAATCATTTTCTTGATTGTAATACTACATTTTTGTATATTCACCCCTTGCTTTTGTTGGTACGTTTTTGTACTGAAAATATTGTTTGTAAATACAATTTACTTTTGGTGTTTTTTTGTGTGTGGTGGCAGTGGCATTTTGTATGGAGGATTTCCTTATGTTGATGCATGACATCAAAGTTCTTTTACTTTGTTCATTCACTGGAAGAGTAGTGATTAAGAGACAGTATTTATTGGTATTGGTCAGTACTCATATAAGTAGAGTAAAGAAGTACAAATTAGCCATTCCTTCAACGACTTCCCCCTGGCAAAGCTAGACACAGACTGCAGAAAAGCCAATCCAAACAGGAAATGTGCCACCTGCTCTGGCCAGCGCAGTGCCTGATACCTGGGATGCCTATATCTCCATTAATGCAGAGATGTTACCACAGCTGCCATCAGGAAAAAAACATCCTATACCAAGAATCCCGCAGGAGACATGAGGCACCTACATTTATTGCGGAAGCAGTCACTATCAAGCTCAACAATGAGATTACGCTACTGAAAAATGAAATCCAGGTATTCCTGAATGAGAAAGAAAAAGCCAAGTCACTGTGGGATCAAGAAGGAGATAAGATAACAGATGCGAAATCTCATGCAAACATCACTTGAAACCCAGAGACGTTTTGAGGCTGAAATCACTGACATGGCAAAGTTCATGTGTGGTGTCATGTCAGTCCTGATCGACATCCAGACTCAGAAGGAACAAGAAGCACGAAACAGCCGCAGAAACCGGCATGACAGGCAAAGTAGAGATGACCACCCTAAAAAAAAAACTGCTAGAAACCCTTCTGCTTGGATGGTTATATTTCAGAACTTTGAGTTCAAGGTTCACATCTGATTTACAGTTTTGTCTTATTTGTTTGCAGACGTTGCTCCTTGTCTAGCAGGAAGATGCACTCTGACTTTGAAGGAAACAAAACACCTTAATAAGTCATCTTTTCTGAAATGTTCGTTAGTGTGACAGTGTGTCTATTCTTTATCACATGCCAGAACCAACACAGGAAATTTTGAGTTGAGTCAAGAATTTACGTTACAGCATTTGTGACATTCCCATATGTGCTCCGTCCTCATCTTCAGCAGCCAGCGCAGAGTTCCAATACTGATGGTACCAGTCAAAATCTGGTTATATGTCCGTCTTGCCATGAGTGTAGTTAGCCGGCCAGATCCTCTGGTTACAACCAGGTTCCTCATTCTCTCCAGTTAATAATACTCTTGTTTCTCTATTACTTCCGTTGCTTGTTCCCAAAGAGATTAGACCACATTTGCCTTGTTATGTATTAATTCACCACCTAGTGGTGCAGATCCAACCAATCTGCATGCCT